TTTGTTGATTTTGTTTTGATTTTATTTAATATGTGGTTGACATTTGATACATTCCTACAATGTAATGGAAAGATAGGCTTTGGTTTTAACTGCAGATGTGTATATAGATATAGTCAACATTTCAGAAAGATGTTGACGTTTTCATTTCAACTTATTTCAGCTCTGCAGAAATCGCTGTGGGAACTTGGATATTTTTTTTATTTCTCTACAAACTGATGTACATTACCATTTAATTGGTTGGTTTGGGTTTTAGAGTATTTCTTTACAGCATGCTTTTTCCCTCTTTTTAAGGAACTTGCTAGTTCAAATCAAAACTATCAAAACTAGCTCTGGTGTGGATGCTATTAAGTGAGCTGAGCAAGTGTAAAAAGCGGTAATATTGCAGTACTTCTTTCATATTGTTCCACTGTAAAAGGAAAAAACATTTGAAAACCACATCTCAAAAACAGTCATATGTCTAGTTCTGCCAGTCAAGGTCAAATGTCAGAGCTACCTTAAAAGCATATTTCATTTGACTTGCCTTCAAAGTATTTTTGTTTGTAATTCTTGGTAAAGTGATCCAGGAACCCATTTGTTTGCAATTCACACATGAAAGAAAGCTCCCAATTTGCACGACTGCCAGAGCTGATGTGAAACTCAATTACTGCTCTCCCACTTCATGGTTGCTTGATCAGTCGGATCCAGCTTCTCTGGCTGTAAAGAGTTAGTGTAGACCTGCCAGCATGTGCATATCCACACTCTTACATTAAAACAACACACAGCTGATATTTTAACTTGACATCACACAGAAGTTTTTGAAAACCCATTTTTGAAATAAAGATTTTAAACACAAGAGTGCAGTCTTCGACTGGAAGCCAGCCTTTAAAACGGAGCAGCATTGTGAGGTCCTCTCCCTCTGGAATATGGCAGCGCTGTGGTCCCCCTCCTTTTTTGGTGTGTGTTGCTATTTACTTTGCAGGGAATGTTGTATTGGCTGAGCCTGGTGACACAGTGTGAGATTCTGGCTGCCTCTTAACTTGTGGGAGACATTCTTTGCCTTCATCTGTTGGTTGGGGGTGGTGGGGTGGGGCTGGGATGTTTCTGAGCCTCCCAGTACATTATATGCCCCAGATAGCTGACTTCTTATCCCTGTTCGCTATCTTACCTCCAGCATGCACACTCTAACACTCTCAGCCTGTGCTCACAGCCACCTTTCATACCTTTCTAGCATCTCCTCCCAGTTTAATCATGTGGGAAAATATTTATTCATGGTCTATCATTATTACCTCCCTTGGATGTGTTGATGAGGTTGTCTTTTATCTCCGCTGTCACTTGGAGTCATCTGCCTTCAAGGTGAACTGTACGGTTTGAACAAGGAGATTCATGCCAGGTGCAGTCTGTGAACCAAAAGCTGTACACTGCTGCTCCTAGGCACCGAGCTGGAATAGTGACATGATTTTTATTACCGCGGGTTTTCTCCAGGATGCTGAATTTTAAATGAAACCAGAGACTGCTTGGCTCCATTGCTGACTTTCAGTTTTGGGGTGTTGTTTGTGTTTGTAGGGCTTTATAAAATACTTTATTCTTTAGCTCAGTTTTCAGGTTTTACACGTTAAGTTCTGAGGCTGTTTAAGGCTCATCAGATGTTTATGTCCTAATGGTCTGCACATTAAGTGTTAAATTCAGCGTATTCACTTCATAATAATTGTGAAAATAATGATTTGGTCTGCCTCTAACTCACGATAATGTTGCAGTAATGCTATGATATTAAAATACTTGAATTATTTTATGGATTGCTGATTTTCACATCATTAAATAATGTGATGCGCTGCTCACCTGCTGTACTGAGTACTTTATGTTCAGATTCAGTCCTGCAGTGTTTGGTGTAATAAAACCTTAAAATTCATTTGCACATTGAGGCTGGCCGTCTCTCCTGGTCTGACCAGTCTGTTTGTGAACAAACTGGTTGTGCTGGCCGTGGGAACATTTTGACCTCAAACAAAACCTTGCTAGTAGCCTGTCAATTTAAAGTAGTTTTGGTACAATTTTTTCCCCTTCTGCTCTATACTGCGGTGTTTTTTAATGTTTATGAATTTCTAGTGCAATGTGTCGTCATAGATTTTAGAATGTTGTTTTTCCCCCTGTTGCTCTTGGGTTTTATACCCGGCTGCTGATCGTTTGTCTACTCAGGCACTAAACTGTGTTCACCTTGCAGCCTCAGGTGTTAACTGGCTGCAGTAATGGTTTCTCTCCAAATTATCTTTGCAAATTAAACATCTTATTCCACTTCAAACATCTGGGGTCTTTACAACTGGGAAGTTTTGAAAACCAAAGCACCACCTTTACTGTTTTTAATCCTATGAATTAGACCACCGGGGGCGATACTGTCACATCCGTGGAGCCTCTTTTTAAAGAGATCAGCTGCAGGATGCTCTGTGATCAGCGCTGCTCTGTGTGCGTCTGATATATCCCTAAACTGTTTCAGGTGTTTCCATTTGACTGTTTTCCTAGAGTGACTTATTTTGTATCTAATGCTTAGCATTTCATGCCCACGTAAGTAGCATCCATCACAAAGATGCTGTCAAATTCAGTGATACTGTTTTTAGAGGATTGAAATTACACTGTCATTTTCACAGTTGATTCCTTGTCATTGAGATATGTCACAAAACCTGCTAGTTTTTAACTTTAAATTTTCATTTTTCCACCACTGAACTCCATACCGAACACAGTGCCAGATTTCCTCTTCAGTCTGCCCAGTTGTCCAGTGGTCTCTAATTTTAGTGCTGCTTTGCCAATACACCACAGCATAGAAAAGTGCACTGGCTTTGACAGCCTGATAAAAAATCAGGTAGAGCTATCTGTCGATCTTGAAAGACCCAGTCTCCTCAGGAAATAGCTTTGCTTTTTATTATGGAGAGCCTCTGTGTCCATTTTTTTGTCTGGGTGCGGTCCCAGGAACCTGTATATGCTAGCTGTCTTTATACTGATCTCCTCAATGGAGGCCACCAGCAAAGGTAGGTGGGCCCCCAAATCTATTATCCTGCTGGTGTTCAGTTGTGTGTGGCTCTGCCACATCTCACAAAGTCCATCACTAGGCCACTGCACACTCTCCACCCCACCCCTCATACATTCCACAAATGTGCTGTGGATGAGTTGTACTTGAGGTTAGCCATTTGCAGAGTGAACAGGACTGGGGAGAGTACAGCTCCCTGGGGTGTGCCAGTGCTTCTGGGCAGCAGAGTCCTGGTTGTCATCGGTTGTAAAAGTCGTTAAAATGATTTTATCTCCTCCCATCACCGTCTAGGGTGCTGTTTCTCTTCTTACAGCTCATGATGGTCCTTATGCCATCCTAGACCCCCCTCAGGTTGTTTTCCTGCAGCTTTTTTCCACCTTCTTTTTATATGCCCCCTTTGCCTCCTCCAGGCTGAGTTTGACCTATCTCCTCGCACTACATCCCAATACCCTCTCCTTCTTCTTCCTATTCAGAAGGTCCTTGAGGTCACTGCCTATCTAAAGCTTGTTGTTTTGAAAAAAAGTTTTTGGGGAACAATGATGTCCTTACAGAAGTTCGGGCAGTCAGTAGTGCAATGTGTGACTCCTCTATCTCCTCCAAATGTGATTCCTGGGCCAATGCAGGATTCACTGTCCAATTGCCCAAGAACAATTTTCTTCTGAGAATCGAACTGCTAACCGTACATGTAACAACTTCAGTGCATGTTTCAAGCTTTTTTATTTCTCCATTCTGCATATTTGGTTGAAGATGCTCTACGAAGCACTCATGTTCATCTCTTCAAGCCTAGATAGCCCCCATTTATCAAACCTCACCGGAACATGTCAACCTTCATTCAGTTTGCTGCACAATGAAAACTCATCATTTACCAATCGATAAATCTGTTCAGCTGAAGTCAGATGAAGGGATGGTGAAATATGAATTATGAGTTTGCTGAGGCCTTTCTTTTTTCCAGACATCCATCATTGTCAACAAAATGAGTCCAGCAAATATTCAATTAAGACCTCAGGCCTCTGTTCCTCATTCATTATTCTGAGGTTAATTTGCAACTGTAGATTTGTCTTTTGTCACTTTTAGGCCACAAAAGGATGGTTAAGTAATTAGTTTCACTCCTCATCCTGCTGCCATTAGTGCAGGTTGTCTTTAGCTGTGTTTTCTACCAGGTTCTTGTGAAAGTGATAGCGTCTAATTTAATTTCATGAAGGTACGTTTTTGTGGCCGGTGCTGTGCATTTTTTATTTTTGACTCTATCCTGCACAGGGACGCACTTAAACCGGGATCAGAACAATATCTGAATAGAAAAATACTTAATTAATTTCAAAAGAAATACTGGAAATTAAGAATATAGTAAAATGATATAGATGTACTTCTGTCAGATCAGTCTTTGATTAGTTGTTCATGCTATATCTGCCATTTTCACTTCGTCTTTTCAGACTTGGTGTGCTTTGAGAACGCATCTGAAGAATGCATGCATCATACACATTTATGTTGTTATTTCTTTAACAATACCAGCCTTTTTCTTCAGCAAAGCATCTAGACATGTTTTTTTGTGTTTATGTATAATTTATGCAGTTGGCCCTAGAAATGAAAAGAGATAGTGAATGCCAGCTGTCACTGAGGTTCTTTGATGTGGTGGCGCATTATTCAGCAGAGGAGAAAACCGGTGGTGGAGTGGCCTTCATGTAAAAAGGACGATGGAAATAATATTTTGTTTAAATATTAAAAGAATAAGAAGATATTGGAAATCGGTGGAATAAATTTTATCCAGATGTGCTTAGACTTAATAAAGACATGTTCCATGCAATCATAACATTTCAAATGCACTATTAAGATGTTAACTTGGACATTTGTTATTGGACACAAAAAAAAAGTGCTTGCAGTTTTAGATGTATTTGGAGCAGTAGTGATAGTAGCAGCAGCATTTCTTCTTTTGCCAATGTCTGCAATTTCCTACCCACAGTGCCACCTCACATAGGAAACTCTAGACTACAGAATTTTTGTCTCGCCTCAGGCTACCGTGCAGGCCGGTTCAGTTCACTGATTGCCTTTTCGTCAAGGGGACGGGTGCGTTCGGTGTAGTAGAGGTGAATGTCATGCTGAGTGGCAAGTGGTTGGGGAGCAGTGGGAGAGCCATTGGCTGACAGGATGAAAGTTAAACACTGGCCTGCGGTCTTGTTTCACAGCTGAAGTCAACTTGTTGCCTTGGGGCAGGGGCCCAGTTTATTGACCAACCTGGTACGCCTCACCTTCTCAATCCCTGCTTGACATGGGTTTTTCCTGGATTTAGCCCAGTCAGATGCAACGTCCATGTGTCACTGATTTAAATGTTCACCTCTGTAACAGCAAGACGCCGCATTCTTCTTGTCAGACTTACCGTATATTGCTCCGCTTTTGATTGAATGTTTCTGGGGGCCAAGTTTCTATTATCTCCTCTTTCACCACGAGCCAGGTGGACCACCAAGTGCAGTGGTTCTCAGTCTGTAATTACTTCTATTATGATCCACATCAATTCTGTCTCCAACCAAGAGGAAAGGTCACCCCCTCAGTTTAAGCCTCTTACTGTGCATGTATCAATGTCTGTCTGGAGTTGTTCAAACAGGCTTTTAGCATGTCAGTCGCCTGTGAAATCACATTTCTGTTTAGTTTTTCAACACATTCAATATTTTGTTTGGGATATAATATTCACACGTGGCTGAATTTTAAGAATTCATCTGCATCTGGTGTTTGTCCAAGACTGAGTTGACATACAGTACTGACAGTGATAAAACTACTACCAGAATTCCACTTTACAGCAGCGTCTCTGGAACTTTACATTAGCTGACAGAGTGGATGAGGGTGGAGCGAAATTAAATGAAGGTAGATTAAAATGAAGCTGAGAAAAGTAAAGCTTACTGCACAAGTCCCAGGTAAATTCAACATCACGATTCGACATGACAAACAGAGCTCCTTTGATACGTCACAGGAAAGGCTCTTTCAAAGCTGGTTGACTTTGTTGAAACACATCATTAAACCGCTGCACTTTGTTTTGCCATGTTGTGCATTTCAGCCTCTTCGCTGACATTTTGAAGAGCAGCATACGGTTTCCGCTCTCATTTACGCAGTGCGGAGTGGATCTCCGAAGTTCAACATGCAGAGCAATTCTCACACGAACCGAAAAAAGGCAGATGTTTTACATTATGTTTTTTTAAGACAGACAGAAACAGCAAAGTTGGAACCTTTAGAGAGCATCTGTTAAAATGCTTTTTTATATAGATATTTATCATACAGCTCTGTACCACAACAAGCTTACATCATTCAGCTGGAGACAGTATATTGGTTCATTTTGTTAATTAACTTTAGTGAATGGTAAAACATAAAACTTACCATATACATGATTATATAAAATATATTAACATGAAAAATATGTTAACATTTATTTATGTAATCCTTCTCATATTGAAGTAAACATAGCCAAAGTCTCTTTCAAAACTCTGGTCGAAGTTCTAAAACAGTTGGTGAGATTCTTTTGCGGCTCAAAAGTCTTCATGTCAAAATCTGCCAACAGCAATCCTCAGTGGACTCAAAGTTTCATATGCCAAAAATAAATACTGCTGGCCTGAGTTAAGGGTCAAGCAGGGAAGTTGCTAAGTTGCATCACATCTTAACCTTCATCACTCACTTGAGCAAATGGCGATGGAATTGAATTTCGTTTTCTGCATTCTCAAAGTCTTTGGCCCGTAACAACGTTTAAAAAGTAGCAGATTGTTGGAATGCACAAAGCTTCAACTATTTTTTAATGGTCCTTTTTAATGATAACATTTGGTGAACAAAACACTACTTTCTTACTCATTCCATCTCCTTTCAAGGAGCACAAACTTTATTAACCAGTTTGACCTGCTTCAAGAAAATTCTACAGCAAAATTACCTTTCTTACTTTTTTGTAAGGAAGACGGATCCTCACTGACATCAGAAACTGCCATCAGATGAAAAGATATGACAATTTTACACATTTATTTGTTACAGAGCACAGATTGTTCATAAAGTCGAAAGCCTGCACCTTTAATATTGTTCTGGCATCAAAAGTCTGTTTGTGAAAGAAAAAAAAAATCCAAAATATAAAATATGCAATTCACCCAGTTTCCATTTTGGAAATGCTACTGTTATCATTATTATTTTTTTAGATAATGATAATCATCATCATGAAATGTAACATGTAATAAAACTTAACCTTGTCTATGGACTCTGGGAACCAAGCGGAAGAAAAGGTCAAAACTAATACCAGCAATCTTCCAGCTGTTTGTGTCACAGATTTGTTTGCAGTGTTTGATATTTTTGGGACTTGGCATTGACACGTGCTTTGTCTGTTTTCTGTTTAAGGACCACCCCTTTTTGCCTTTTACATGAATTTTGCCTCTTCCCCAGTTATCGTCCTGAAGGTGTTTGATGTAGTTAAGCTTGACATTTCAGCTGGATCCACAGGCTCTTTGCTCTATTCGAGCAGTTTCTATAGCTGTTTCTCTTCATTAAACTTGATTGCCGGACTATATTTTCTCTGTGTTCGCTCCAGAATTTCATGAAATGTAGGGACGTTCCTGCTTTTCTGGTCCATTCATTACCCCTGGACAGGCAGTGATGGAACAACAGTTGGGTCTCATTGATGTATCTGCATTGTCATCTTATTAATACCCACACGTCGCAAGGGCGGCGGCCATGGATTTTCCATCTAAATGGATTAAGCTTTCATTTCTTATGCCTAATCACAATATAAGAAAGAGGATAAGGATGAAGAAAACTTTAGATAAAGGCCTTTGGCTATTCATGATGACACGTCACTCCTCGCTCTCCACAATGACCCTCACCTCTTTTTGGGCTCAGGACAACAGTTTTTCAGAGCCATGTCAATGCATTTTTATGAGGGCTTTGTGTCTTTTACTTATCTTTCGCACTTATTTGTCGTTTAGGAAACCGAACATAAAAAAGGGTATTTGAGGATAAGGTCAGCATTGTGGTTTCAAGAAAAGAATAGTATTTATGTTAGATTTGATTTCTTCTTTGATTTGTTCTTCATAAGCTTGTGATTATAATTTAGCCCTATGATAAAACAATTCATTGGTTTTTACTCTGTGAATTTTACATGGTGATGATATTTACGATTAGGTTATGCAAAGAACTATGTGTTTCTGGAATCGTGTGCAGTGTTTTTCGATCGTGGCGTATCACATTCACATAAACACACCAGATCCACAAGAATTTTCAGCTTGACCTCTGCAATGTCACTTGTTACTGAGATACGTCTTGGCAATTGTCCTGCACCGAAGGGATTTGTGGGGAGATGAACAGGGTTGGGAAGATCTGGGGGGGTCCAGATAGGTTGGTGGAGTCAGCCCCGGATTTATGTGTCTGTAACAGAGCCCTTTATGAGGAGACTGTTGCCCCTTTTCTTCAGGGGGGCTGCTTGTGAGCCACAGAAGCTGCTGTGCAAATATTAGCTGTCCTGTTGCACCTGCTGCCGTCGTCGCAGTCTGTCCCTCCCTTCCACCTTCCACCTCCTATCCAAATACTCTTCATTTGTCAAACACACAAAGGAAGACAGGCGCACAATAGAAGGACATTTTAGTGGTGCCTCAGCCCTGCATTCATGTGCTGACATGGGCTAAACAGTGCTCTGACCTCCCTTCCACAGAGCTGGTGGTTCACTGCTTTAATCTCCGGTAACAGGCGTCGTAAACAGTGGTCAGTCACTGGTGACAATGTTCACTAGGAGCTACTGGTTTTAACTTTATTTTAGAATGTACAAGCATATAAATCAGGAGGCAGAAGATGACAGTATGTTTTTATGTAGGATGGAAGGACAGAAAGATCACAGAAGGGCACTAATGCAGTATTTTTAAGAGTATATGTGGAGAGGTTAGATTAGTCAAAGTTAAGAAAGAAATAGAATAGAAAAGAAAAACAGTTGACACCTTGATTAAGATGCATTTTTAAATCGTGCTTTTTCTATTGAACCTATTCATTATATTCATGACACAGACATTTCCACACTCTTCTAGAATTTGGGAATGTGCCCATATTGCCACAAATACCTTTGACAATACATTCAGCAACCCATTTACAGGATTTTTTTCTTTTTTTCTTATCTCTTCAGAATAGCTCATTCTTATATTTTACAGCTGCTTTAGCTTCCTAGTACCATAAATAAGAGTTTGGAAATACGGGACCAGAAAGGGAATGGGAAGAAATAGATCCAGGTTACAAATAGTTCAACATAAGTACTGTATGTGGTCTAAATGTGTTTTAGTCTTTTTGAAAATGTTTGCTAGTGATCAAATGGGATTTTAAAGAATGTTATGCCATCAACGTGCAACACAAAGTGTTTAAAGCTGCTCTTTGTTCCCCTCAGTCTCACTCTGTGTTGCCGCCCTAAGTGTTCCCTTTCTTTTTTTAACATATTGCTGTCTGCATGGTTCTGACCTGAATGTGTGCAAACACACACACACATGCCTACAGACATAAACATCAGTGTCCCCACAACCACACACAGAGGGGGGTCCCTGGAGTTGGCCACAATTACTGTGTGTACCGTTGCTTACTCATTATGTCTGACAGGCCACACCACTTCTGCTCTCCTGCTGTCTCCTGTGCATTGCCTCCTACATCATCTGCTTTCTCAGTGCAAACACGCACAAAATGTACATGGTGAGTGTGTGGGTAGATGACTGGGGGATGCGGGGCAGTCTCCGTCTATTCCAGGCTTCAGAAAATCTCATAGGGTGTCAGTTTTTTTCTTGCTCCTCATACCCACCATGCTAAAGTCTTGTCAGAATCTCAGCGTTTTGTGCAGAGAAAATATTGTGTATACTCACACACTGTATTCTTCAGCCCACGAACTTTAATACGCCTGTCCCTAAACCAAACTGAAAATGCACATTGTGGTTACACCGTATAAATGGCAGTTGATGCCAACAACTGGGATCATCTTGTTGCAATTGAATGATCTGCTCGGAAATTCTGCCATTTAGGCGACTCTTACTTTGACATGTAACGCCCACCTAGACGTTGTTACAGGACAAACACATCAACAGCAGCGGGATCAAGCTGTGCACCAACACTGACCAGGCCGGGCGAGCATCCATAGGATAGCTTGCAAATCGTTGAATTATAGGGACTTGAAGGGGTAGTAGAGCCCCCTTTAGCTTGAGGAAAATGACAGAAGTTAGTCAGTGGGTAGGAAAATAAAAAAATCTACTGTAACTCGC